ACACAGAGAAACCCTGTCTCGAAAAACCAAAAAAAAAAAAAAAAAAGAGAGAGAGACTCTGTTTCAAAAAAGCAAGAGCAAATAGGGGGTGGGGAGGGGTGCCTGATAGGAATAGAATCATTTCTGTTATTGTCTTTTATTCCATTGTATGAATCCACCAACCCAAAGGTCAAACCTGGCAGGCCACTATTTCATTTATAAGCCTCTGTAGGAAAGTTCAAAGATTATATTCTTTCTATATGATATGAATCAACTAATATTCAATACTGTTTATTTAAAATTGAGCTTGACAGTCTTATCAGCCTCACCTCTAACAGCTCTAACAGCTGCTTCTGTGATTCTGTTTCTGGCCTTTGTGGGTGTTTGCATGTGTTGCTTCATTTAGAGATAGGAACACCATAGCCTGCCTACAATCCTGTGATTTTTTTTTTTTTCTTCCTGTTTGCAGCTGGCGAGAGGTTGATCTTCAGTCTCTGAAGGGGAGTCCTGATGAAGAGAATGAGGAGGTAATACCATATTTATACTGTCTTGGAGGAACATGCACACCCACCCCAACTATGGTTTCATACACTCAATGCCTTAAGACATAAGGGGTTTCAAATGCAAGCTCATCATATTCTGGTTTTGACTAACAGCATCTACAATGTTGTGAGACTGATTTTAGAATGATTCTGGAGATGAGAGATTGATGAAAGTGCTTTGTTGCAGATTGAGGACCTATCAGATGCAGCCTTTGCCGCCCTGCATGCCAAATGTGAGGAGATGGAAAGGGCAAGGTGGCTGTGGACCACAAGTGTGCCACCCCAGCGACGGGGCAGCAGGTAATGGGTGGGTGTGGGTTCCCAGTATCTACTGAGAGAGGGAGGATGGTAGCCACAGTAAGAATGATTAAACGCCTACTGGTTGTCATAGTGATTTAGCCATAGGAGTTTAGAAGGCCTCGGAAGTTGATCCTCTCTTGGTGGGGACCGGTTTTACAATCTTAACTGTAGACGGCTCAGTGAGTTAGAAGTGCTTGTCCACCAGGTCTCACAGATCATTCCCTTACAAGAGTAGTCGGAGACCACCTATTTTTCTTTGACTTGTTTTCAAAACCTAAACTAGTCCCTATTGTAAATTCACTGGGCCGGGCTGATAGTTGCTCATGGCTCTTAGGTGTCATGTTATAGACCTACCTGTGTAGGTAAAAGCGGGAACAAGTACAGTTGAGGGATCTTAAAAGAGTACCATTGCTGTCAGTTCTGTTTGTATTAACTGCATTGGTGTAGATGCCTTTTTTTTAATAGCTCCTCTAACTACCCCTACCCCAAAAAGAAACAGAAATGGCTATGACCATGTCCTCATTTACTCATTGGTGTATTTCTTGGCTTATAGGTCTTACAGGTCATCAGACGGCCGGACCACCCCTCAGTTGGGCAGTGCCAACCCCTCCACCCCACAGCCTGCCTCCCCTGATGTCAGTAGTAGCCACTCTCTGTCAGAGTTCTCCCATGGTCAATCTCCTAGGAGTCCCATTAGCCCAGAACTGCACTCAGCCCCTCTCACCCCTGTGGCTCGGGACAGTCTGCGACACCTGGCCAGTGAAGACACCCGATGCTCCACACCAGAGCTGGGGCTAGATGAACAGGTGAGGGGTATCTCCTTTGAAGAGGGCAAGATATGAGGTAGAACTGGGAGGGGGCAGCATGTGTGAAAATTAAGAGTTTTCCTCTCTGTTGTTTTAAAATGAAGTGTGGTTAATCATTGTTCCTGTGGTATCCCACCTTGGGAGCAGTCTCCCTAAACTACTCCCCAATAATACTAAACAGACTAGTCATAGATTGCAGGCTGCAAGTTTGAGATCAGGGCCTTGGCGCTGGAAATTGTTCATTAACAGATCATCGTGTCTGTCCACAGTCAGTCCAGCCATGGGAACGACGGACCTTCCCTCTGGCCTACAGTCCCCAAGCAGAATGTGACGAGCAGCTGGATGCACAGGACACGGCAGCCCGCTGCACTCGCCGCACCTCAGGCACCAAGACTGGCCGGGAAACAGAGGTGGCACCCACCTCGCCTCCTGTTGTCCCTCTTAAGAGTCGGCATCTGGCAGCAACAGTCGCAGCTCAGCGCCCAACTCACAGATGAGCGGGAAATGAGACTCTATACAGACTCACTACTATTGGCATTAAAGCTTCAGAAATCTCTGCGTTTGATATTCAAACATCATATGCTGGAAATTTTCACAGTTTTTAGTGAATTTAAGGAATTTAGATCCTCCTTTGGTTGGTTTGGTTTTGTTGTTTGTTTTCTTGTTCTGTTTTCATGTCACACCTGAGCACTTCCTCCAGTTGGCAGACAAGTTCAGGAAGACACCCTGCTGGCCTGGTCCTGCATATCCTCTGCACTGTTGGATCACTGGACTTCCACTGTTAGATGACCACCCCTTTCCCCTGCACCTGTGGGGTAGGGTGGACCAGCCAAATGGCAGCAGGTAGAAAGCTCCTGATGAGCATGGCCTCCTTAGATTAGTTAGGGTGGGATAGAGCAAGAGCAGTCTGGGCTCTTTCCTTCACTCCAGTCTGTGGCTTGGCTTAGCTCTGGTTGGTCACCCACCCCCTCCTTGGTCTTCTAGGATGGAACACCCTTACAGCCAGCCTCTTTGCTCTGTTGGTTAGCTCTGTCACTGAGCTCTGGGCCAGCAGGATAGCTGGCTTCACCTTGTCACCTGAACCTTGAAAGCCCATTTTCAGTTTCACCTGCATTTGGTCGTCCATCTTGGCTCCTTGACTGCAGTGCCCTGCTGCAGCTGCTCAGGTCACCCTGCCCTACCTTCCCCAATTTTTTCTCCCTCCATGCCCTCACACAGATACGGTAGTCCTTCCAATCAGAGCTTCTGTGACCCATTCCCACTCCCCTACAAACTAGGAAGTCCGTGGATTACACATCATCACTTCTGTATCATGTTTTCACTGAGTAGTTGACATGTCGTGTCTCCTTCACATCCCCGTCAGTCACTTAGACTCCCCCTTCCCCGCACCCCTTGCCTGTGGAACACTGTCGGGTCCTAGCTGTGGTTTCCATCGTTCCCCATGGACCTCCTGTTACCCTTGTGCCTGTCCTATGTATAATCACATCACCAAAAAAAGGGGACGGGGAAAGGAATGTTCTTTTTCTGCCATTTTATAATCGTACAAAAATAGTAGGCAGACTGCTTAATGGTTGGGGTTTTTTCACAATTTTCAACATTAGTGATTTTTTTTCTTTCTGTTTGCAAGTTAAAAGGTTTGTCATTGTTTCTTTAAACAACAATAATGCACCATATCCCTATGCATAAAGTGCTTCTTCTATTTATAAGGTTGAAAATTCTGAATAACCCTTTTAGCATTGTAAAAAACAAAAACAAAACAAAAAAACCAAAAAAGACAAAAATTTAAAAAAACTTGTATTTTGTAAATATTTTCTTTTCCTGCTTTGAGCTGTGTAATGGCAGCGAACATGTAGCTGTCTTTGTTCTATAGAAATGCTTTTCTTCAGAGAAGCTGATCTTTGTTAATGTCTTGATTCTGTTTGCAAAGCACAGACTAGTGCTTAAAAAAAAAGGAAGAAAAAATGAAAAAAATAATAATAAAAAAAAGATACAGAAAGTTGTGTCAGGCTTTTCCTGAGACACTAGACTGTGTGTCTGACAGACCCACAGAATGCTGGGGCTGCATTGCTGAGCCTGGGCAGTCTCTCAGTCCTGGAACAAGTAAGAAGTACCATCTGTTATTGAGTGAAAACAGTTGATTCATTTTCTCATTCCTTCCTCTGAGGTCAGTAGGGTAGAATCTCAAACTCTGTCCAGTGGGGATTCTTTCTTCTTACCAGTCAAACTTTGAGGTGTAGCAATCAATGAAAGTATATAGTTTGCAGCTGGGCGGTGGTGGTGCATGCCTTTAATCCCAGCACTTGGGAGGCAGAGGCAGGTGGATTTCTGAGTTCGAGGCCAGCCTGGTCTACAGAGTAGCCAGGACAGCCAGGGCTACACAGAGAAACCCTGTCTTGGGGGGCAGAGGGGGAGAGAGATATAATGGACTAAAGCAGCTGTCTGCAGAGGCTAGGCACTTTGGGGGGAACTGAGGAAGACAAATTGGAAATCTAAGGATTTTGACCTTGATATAATTACTAAAGAACTCGGGAGTAAGGGAGATGGCTCTATGAAGTGCAGGATGAGACCCTAATTTGAATCTGTAGTTCCAGTTCCATCCTATGTGAGATGGGAGACTGAGGCCAATCAATCCCTAAACAGCTAGGAGGCCAAATAACATGGCACATGTAGGAAAATAATGTCTGAAAACAAGCGAGGTGAATTGCCTGACACCCGAGGTGGTACTCTGGCCACATGCCATGGCACTCAACAAGAAATTGGGGCTGAGGATGGGCTATTGCTTTGTTAGTAGAATGCTTGCCTAAGTGTGCATGCAGAAGGACCCTGCATTGTGCACCCCTGTAATCCCAGCACTCAGGAGGATCAAGGCCAGCCTGGGCTGCATGAGAGACCCTGTCTCAAGAAAATATGGGTTGTTTTATCTTTGCCTTTGTAATGTTGTAAGCAAGAAGCTGCCCTATCTCTAGCAGAAATATTCCTTGATTTATGGTAAGATTCCAAGGTACAAAGGCAGCAGTGCAATTGTGTATGCATGTTGGAGTTTGCAGCTTATTGGCTTGAGTTTATTTCAGCCCCAGTCCTCTACACTTAAGTTCCAGAAATGAAGGATCTCATATATCCCACACCAAACTTCTTCAGTTGCATGAACGGGCGCAGACTTTGGGAGCTCTTGAATGCTGCCATGTAAGTTCAGCCACAGAGTATTAATTGTCTGTGGGTAGTATGCCAGCAGCAGAATGTGAGAATGAACCAAGAAAGCTGTCTCCAGTGTCTGCCTTGTACTTTCATTTCCTGATCTGAATTTTCTAAGTGGGAAAAAGAACTTGTAAACTATTGTTTTCTTGTACTTGGAACTCATGAACAGAGATTTTGTTTAATCAGAGTAATAACTTTATTTCCAAATTCACTTTTACAGCAACAGTCAGTGTAAATCATTTGTTAAAACACAATACACTATATGGACATTCACAGACAGGAAGCTAAGCTAAGATGATTCGTGTCCCTCCCCCCACCCTCAAAATCACCAAAGAAATCATGGGACTTGCAAGCACTGGAGATCATGCCCAGCACAGTAACTGCACAGGCTACAGTCCATCAGGAGGGTGAGACTGAGATACTGCCCAAAGTAACCCTTTCAGAAGCCAGAGAGAAGTTGGAAGGCTCATAAAGCTGCAGACCTATAGTTGATTACCACCTCCACCCTCATCCCCACTTACTTACTTTCCTGGAGAACAGACGAGGATAAAGGAAGTGGTCTTGGCCACTGCTGCTAGTGTAGGCTATGGATCTGAAGTCGATCCAGAGGTGATGCTGATGTGCCAATGGATTAGAGGGAAGGAAGCCAGGGTTTCGAGGAGGCATTGACTGGGCTCTGGACACCACAAGAAGGCAGCAGGCAAGAGCAGTTCATAGATTTCCTACACAGACCTGAGAGCTGCGCCTGGCTGGGAGGGCAGGGACCTATCTGGCTGCCTCTGCCTTGCCTGTCCATGGGACAAGCCTCCAAGTTCTAGCCTTATGGCACCTCTTCTCTCTAGCAAGTGGTCAAAATCATGAATGGGGTTACAAGATGGCTTAATGGCTACACTCCAAGATTTCCCTTTGCCCATGTGAATTATCTTACCATGTTCTTCCTCCCACCCCTTCCCCCACAACACAAGCAATCTCAAATGGGATACACTCTTATTGAAGTCAATTTAAATGGAACTATTGATAAGTGGACTAAGAGCTTGGAGGAACCAGGCAAATTGTATACCCTATCTAGCCCACCCAAAAACACTGGCTCTGGAGTGGAGAGGCATAGAAAAGACAGGTGTCAGGGCCCTGGGGGATTGTCCTCTTTGAAGTAACAAGCCAGAATCCCTTTGTAAACTGCCTCTCAGCATTGACCAGATCACTCCAAACCATGATTTTTGGGCTGACTGCCCTACAAGAGAATGGCAGAGTACCCCACCCTCCATTCAAGGACAGGAACTTCAGGATGGGTAAATGGATGCAAGAGAAAACCACAACAGGTAACCATGATGAAGGTAACCGTCAAACCACACTTCCTTTTCCTCCATCGGACTCTTCACTTCTATGGAGAGCTAAAGTCCATCAGCAGTGGGGCGCTCTGGGCACATAGTTCTTTAGTGGGAAAGGCTGGCTGTTTCCTCCTATAATCCACATTGTCCTAAACAGTACCCAAGCCAGAAGTGGCCAATCTGGGCCTAATCTTCAAAGGCCTAGTCCCTGCAATTGTAGGAGGTCATGCAAGGTGTGGGGGAGGGGAGGCTGACACCTTAGAAATGAAGTCTCCTAAGATGTTCCCTTCATCAGTGGGGCAGTCCATCCCAAACCCTATGGTGAAGAGGCCAAGGCTTGAAGAGGCCCAAGCCTATCTACTAGAGAGTCATGGAATTTCTAGGGCCACAGCTCTCCCTGCTGGTACTGGTGTCCTTTTCTCTTGTGATGCAGGAGTTCTTAGATGTCTTTCAGGGCTGCTGTGAGACTTGAGTTGTGATTAGAGAGGACCATCTTCACTCTACAAAACAGGCCAGCCACAAGCTCTCCCTGACAGGTGGAGCCTGCTGCCTCTAGCTGGTCCTGTGCTTCAGGCCTTAGTCAATGTCATAGACCTCCAATGTCACAATCCAGTGTCTGTGAGGTCCCAGATGCAGAAGAAACCCTTCAAAACAGGCTGTCCCAGCAGGGTAGCACTGCCCTGGCCTGGAGCCAAGTCAGGAAGGAGACCAGTGATATCCAGGCCCTCCATACCCTGTGATGGGCTGGAACCTTTCGACAAATATTTCAAGATACATGCGTCCTTTTTTTTTTTCTTTTTTTTTCTTTTCTTTTCTTTCACTATCATAGTCACACTGGTGAACCCAGACAAACAGACAATCCAACTACATCGCAACAGGGTGCAGACAGGAAAGAAAGGGTTGCATCTACGGAGATGGCTGACTGCTCCAGCAGGGCAGGCAGCACCATTTCCATGGGACCAGAGGAAAAACATTTCAATCAAGGGGTATGATCCCCAAACTGGGGTGTGGGGACTGAGTACGTGCATGGGGACTTAATGGCGGCTGAGCTCTGGGAGGCTAGCAATCACAAGCTGGGGTGGAAGCGGAAGACGGGAGAAGTGTGGCCCTGCCCTGGGACTCTTGACTGTTCATACTGACGCCAGGACATTGACACCTGACTTGGCTAACTCCAGTTCAACACAGGAAGGAGTCAGGCATAGGAGGCAACTGTTAAAGTAAAAAAAAGCAGAGGTGTCCAGGGTCATCCAGGCACACACTGGCTCCCATCCAGGATGGGAGGTGATGGAGCGAACCAAGCAAGGCCGGAAGGTTCCTTGTGGGAGGCACACTGGTTGGATTCGTGGAACGTAGGACTAGAGACTGAGGCCCAAATCTTTGCCTTCCCTGGACCCCATCCCCTAGTGAAGAGCAGGTATTGCCCATATCTACCCAGGGGCCAGGGATGGAGCTGGGGGAGGCTGGGCACTCAGGACAGTGAGACATGATGTATGGACAGCAGTGACTGGCTTTCATGGCGGACGTGGGCATGATAGGACAAGTAGAGGGGATACAGTGGCTGTGTGAGGAATGGGAGGCCTGGGACCCACATCCCAGAATATCACCCCATCCCTCACACTGCAGAAGTGCCAGAGGACCAGGCTTGAGAACAGGCAGATGTCCCCCAAGAGGCACAAGTCCTTACAAAGAACTGGTTAGCCCTAAAGTCCCAGGTCTGTATGGTGGCCAAAATCATGGCTGTAGTTCCAAACTTCAGAACTCAGTAAAGCAGGTTTTCCTGTGTGAGCAAAGGGAAGCTCCTCAGCTCAGGACCTCCCACCCTGCAGGGAGGGAGGAAGAAGCCAGTGCACCGGATGTCAAGATCAGCCTGCAAAGATCCAACCTACAAGGTGCCACCTTCTGGCCGACCTTCCTTCTGCCCACTGCCTCTTCAGAAGGGGCACACACCCCCACTGTACCCCACAGTGCTTCATCAAGTAGGCATCTGTGTTAGCTAAGACTGTTGCAGGCAGCTGGGGCTACCTGTGCTTCCCAAGCTACTTGGCAAGGAACTAGTGTCCCCTCCTCCAACCTATCTTCCTCACCTCTCTCCCTTGACTCTCCTAGGCCACCCATCTCTCAGCCTTTGCTGTTCAGTCCTCACTCACACCCACACAAAGTTCACACCACCTGCCTAAGGCTCCACGAGCACACCAAGCCTCACATCTTTCATTGCTGCCGCTGTCCCTATGCCCCTAGGATGGGGCTGTGGGCAATTAGTTGCCCTAGTCCCTCAGCCACTCCCCAGAATCAGCCTCCAGCGCCTCCTTCACCCTCTAATACACAGAGAGGAAGGGTTGGGGGGGGGGAGGAAATCAATTAGCAATTGCCCAAGGAAATGTTGGGATTTTTGGCCATGTCTTTACATGTTTTTTTTTTCCTTAAAAATATTTTATTACTAGCCCACAAATCAATTTGGAAAGATGAAATTTAACTTTTTCCCATCACTGATTTTGAAGTCCCGAGCCAAAGCCGAGCCACAAAAGCAGGTTAGGTGACAAGCCGGTTAGCCTGTCTATGAGGAGCAGCGGGGAGGGCAGAGGGCGAGGGGCCAGATCATTCTTTTTTTTTTTTTTCCACACTCTCATGATCTCTCTTCTCTCCATGATTATTGCCTGCCCTGGGGGCCTGATCACAAACCCTGCTTGGCCAAGGAAGCAGACACTTCGTCGGCTAGTGTGGCAAGCTGTGGTGAGTCCACCATGTCGATGCTGCCCGTGGAGGACACATTGCTGAGGTGCCGTGGAGATGTGTCCCCAGACACCACAGGTGACTTGTACACGATTTCTGCTCCGTGGTCTGTCTTGGCTTTGGCATTCTCCCTGAAGGTCAGCTTGTGGGTTTCAATCTGCAAGAAGTAGAGGGTGAGATGAATGATAAAGCTCTACACACCAGAGTTAGTCTGTGGTGGGAGGAAAAATTCATTCATTCATTCATTCATTCATCCATTCATTTGTTCATTTTATTTTTGTTTTTTATTCTTTTTTGTTTTGTTTTTGTTGTTGTTGTTGTTTTTGTTTCTCTGTATAGCCCTGGCTGTCCTGGAACTCACTCTGTAGACCAGGCTGGCCTCAAACTCAGAAATCCACCTGCCTCTGCCTCCCAAGTGCTGGGATTAAAGGCATGCGCCACCACCGCCTGGCTTGTTTTTTATTCTTAAGACAGGGCTTCTCTGTGTAGCTCTGGATGTCCTGGAATTTGTTTTATAGACCAGGCTGACCTTGGACTCAGAGATCTGTCTGCCTCTGCCTCCCAAGTGCTATAAGACACCCCGTATGTACTTATTCTTGAAACAGGCGCATATGCCACCACACCTAGTTTATGTAGTGATAGAGTCAGCCGAGGGCTTCCTGCATACTAGGAAACCATTCTACCAACTTACTGGCTTGCATCCTCAGGGTCACCACCCTACTTGTTTTCATTGTTTTACAATTAGCAATAGTTGTGCAAGGTCATCCCACACCTGCCTGCCCAATGACAGTGACCTTGCTTCTGTGTCCTTTAAATATTCCACACATATAGAAACAGACATGCATGTGCAAATAAACACATGTCTACTTAACCCATATGGGAACAATATACACAAGACTTTGCACTTTGCTTTTCATACTGGATGCTTGCTTCATTATTGCTCATTTCATTTTTATTAATTAATATATCTATTTGTAAGGAAGGATACCAGTATGTAGTTCTGGTCTGCTTGGAAATCACTATGTAGACCAGTCTGGTTTGGAACTCCAGGAGATCTGCTTCCTGACCATAGAGAAATTTTAATTCAGCAACATGGCTGCTCTGATCATATCCAAAGACCTTCTAGGTCTGTGTAGTCTGGCTGGAATACAGACAAGCCCTTAGTACACACCTTTAATCCAAACAATGAAAGTAAAGTTAGTTTGTAGAAGGAAGCATGTTAGCCGGGCAGTGGTGGCGCACTCCTTTAATCCCAGCACTTGAGAGGCAGAGGCAGGCGGATTTCTGAGTTCGTGGCCAGCCTGGTCTACAGAGTGAGAGGACTACACAGAGAAACCCTATCTCGGAAAAAAAAAAAAAAAAAAAAGAAGGAAGCATGTTTGAAAGTGATGTCTAATTGAGGGGCAGATGAAGTGATGAATCAGAGGAAGACTTGACAGAATGAATTAGAGACAGGATACGCCCAACTCTCACAGGAAGAGAGAGAAAGGAGAGAACTTAAAAGAGCAGAGGAAGAGAGAGGGAGGAGGCAGTTTTACCACAGGAGTCTTACAGAAACGGGTTCAAGAGAGAACAAGCTTAAAACAGACTTCTAGAGTTAGTTTGAGGCCAAGCAGGGCAATTCAATGAGAATTGGAAAGATATCAGTTCGAATCAGTCAGCTTTGGAGAGTAGTTTTGAGCCAGAATAGCTGAGTTGAATCAGCCAACCAGAGTTCAGAAAGAAAAAGAGAGAGCTTATTCAGCAGTAAATCTCAGAGGCTGAAAACACTCTAGGGCTAGATTATACTGTATGGAGGCTAGAAGCTTCCAGTTAGCAGACTGAGGCAGTCAGCCTATGAGATAACAATTACTACAGGAGAATAAAAGTTACTTTTTCACTCAACTGATGGGATTAAAGTAATATGCTACCACACCTGGCTGTATGCTGTATGTCTAATTTTTTGACGTGTGTGTGTGTGTGTGTGTGTGTGTATTCCTAGAGCATATAAAGAGATCAGAGGGGACAACTTGTGGGCATTGGTCCTCTCCTTCTAACATCTGGGTCCTGGGAACCAAACTCAGGGCATCAAGCTTGACTGGAAGCAGCTTTACCCACTGATCAATCTCACTGGAGTAGCTTGTTGTTTGAAGCAAGATATTACTATTAATCCCAGGCTGGCCAGGAACTAGCTGTCCCCCAGTCTCTCAGTTGCTGGGATTACAGGTGTGTACCAGCAAGGTTCAGGCTTAATATTTTGCTATTCCACAGAGTACTTCTTCATGCCAATGGCTATACCACTGCAACATCCTCTGCATCAGAATCTAACCCTCTGTTGATACAAGTAGAGGCTCTTCCATTTTTTTCAAATTACAAATAATGCTCAGTATGAATAACCTTGAGTGACCTCACACATCATTTTACATGTTGTGTTTAAGTTTATCCTACAAATGTAATGGCTATCTATCATCTATCTATCACCAGTGCTGCTTCGGATAGAACCCATAGCCTCAAGCATGCTAAGCACACACTCTACCGTAAATGTCAGATGTAATTGTCTTGAGGTTTTCTGCCTCAGTCTGCTAACCTAGGCCTAGTCCTGGAAGCTTCTAGCCCCTGTACAATCTATCTAATCTAGGCCTAGAATGTTTTCAGCCTCTGAGACTTACTGCTGAATAAGCTCACCCTTTTTTGTTCTTTCTGAACTCTGGCTGATTCAACTCGGCTGTTCTGGCTGAAACTCCTCTTCTGACTGACTTATTCAATTTGACTTTTCTCTTGGCCTCTCCTGAATTGCTCTGCTTGGCCTCAAACGAACTCTAGCACTCTGTTCTAATCTTCTGGCTCCTTTTCATTCTTTGGCTCATTCTGTCTTCAACTGAGTGTAACTTTCTCTCTCTCTCTCTACAACCTGTCTCTGAACAACCGTCCCGGTAAGGCTGCCCCCTTCCTTTCTGCACTCCCCATAAGTAGCTTCCCTTTCCTCTCTCCGAATTGGGCGTATCCTATCTCTGATTCATTCCGTCAGATCTTTCTCTGATTTGTCATTTTCTCTACTCTTCAATTAGAAGTCACTTTCAAACAGGGGTGTTTCCTTCTACAAACTAACTTTATCTTTACTGTTAGGGATTAAAGGTGTTTACGAAGGGCTAGGCCACACTATAACTAGAAACAGGTTTTTTTTTTTTTCAGTAAAGATCATAATTTTGGGGTTCACAGTGTGATCAAATATCCTGAAACACTCTACTGTTACTTCACATCACCAGCTCCGGACTCTGAGTTGCTAGATTATTGCCATCTTTTATGCCAAAAGTATAAAAGAAGCCACAAAGAAGAGGGCTTGCTGTAGAGCCACTGATGCCAGTGGCTGCCACCTCACACCCTTTACCAGAGATTACTAAGGTAGTTTTTAGGTGGCAGTTGCTGGCACGTGCACTAGAAGGTATGATACCAAGAAGCCCTTCTTAAGAAATAATGTCATGCTGGGCGGTGGTAGCGCACGCCTTTGATCCCAGCACTTGGGAGGCAGAGGCAGGTAGATTTATGAGTTCAAGGGCAGCCTGGTCTACAGAGTGAGTTCCAGGACAGCCAGGGCTCCACAGAGAAACCCTGTCTCGAAAAACAAAAAACAAAAACAAAAAACAACAAAAAAAAAGGAGTCATGATGCAAATATCTGACATGCAGGATATGATATGCTACCTCCAAAGGGGATAGGACCCACAGGTTGAGGTCCTCATCTACCCTCTTATCCCTGTATGACCCCCTATTTGACCCCCTTACCTTCTTATTCCCTCCTCCAGGGACGTGAGTGATATTATCCAAGGAGCCAATCTTCGACTGGACTCTGTCCTTGAAGTCCAGCTTCTCTGATTTTACTTCCACCTGGCCACCTCCTGGAACACAACCCATATGAACCTCTTGCCATCCTCTGTGGTCTGGGGGACTTAGCACATGTTACATGAGCTTGCAGCCTACAGAGCAAAGTGCATGGGGCTGCTGGAGGCTTGATTGAAAAAAAAATCGGTCAGGTGTCACCATTCAGCAGGGGAACATCTGAAGACACGCACACTCTGACTCCAACACAGGCTGGGCCAGTGATCAACAGAACAGCCCATCCTCTCAGAGATGCCAGGGCTCTACTTTATCTAGAAAGAGGCTTAGTCACAGGAAACCCTTGGTAGGGCTTGCAAACTACCTGCCTCTTCTCTCACGGAGAAGGTGCACATAGGATATTTACCCTGCAGAATCCTCCTCCTGAGAGCGTTCAGTGGTACATGAAGCTTGGCCAAGAGAAGGCATGCTAATTTTTAAACTGGATGCCTTCCAGCTATGGAGATTTACTTAGAACATTCTGTGAGCAACAGCCCCTCAAAACCTTGGAATAAAACTGCCTGTCAAATGCACAATGAGGAGAGAGACCCTAACCTCCCCCTTTGGCTCAGGTCACCACACCAGGGTGTAGCAGGAGAGGGGGTGACCTATTTCCCTGGGAAGAGTGCTTTCTTTGAACAATGTTACAGTGAAGATAAGACAACAGCCCAGAAGGTCGCATGTTATAGCTGGTGCAGTTGAAGTGTCCCCCATGCTGGCTGAGATAAGGCTGAGATGTTCACAGAGCCAGCCTTTGGGGGACCCCAATCAGACCCATGGCTGGTCCTTTTTCTGGACAGCCACAGGACTTTTCTGGACAGCCACAGGATGGGATCTGAAACCAGTTCCTCCTCTTGTCTAGGCTGACAAGCAGGGATAGACCCAGGTCCCAGGCCACTCGGCACTTCTACATTTAACATTCACTGCCCAGGTTGGTCTATTCTAGGAAGCACCCACCAGCCCAGCCAGCACTCCTGCCCGGATGCCTGCCTTCAAGTGCTACCTGGCTTGTGATGGATGTTCCCTAATGAGCCACACTTGGAGGTCACCTTGCTCAGGTCCACTGGCTTGTAGACTATTTGCACCTGCAGGTCAGAGAGGATGGGAGAAAGATAGAGAATAAAGGGGGTTACGTTACTAGGAGTGTGACACAGCGTGATGCCAGATGGGATGGGTCACCTGTCAGTGGCTCCCATCAGCCTCTGAATACATCCCATTCAGGATGGAAAATATGCTCTCAAAATCCAGCCAACCCCCATTCCCCCGGGAGCTGGGTCCTCATCAAGTAGCTGTGGGACCTAAATATCTTCAATCCCAGAAACACAAGACACTCTCATGGAAAATCGGAGATGCCTGCGGTACTTGTACATGACCACAGTATCTATGTAGCGGATATTTAAATATAAAAACATAAGTTGTTTTACTGACGAGAGACCTATGACACCCAGTGGAGGGAGAAGTGATGGGCCTATGCAGCCCTGCGTCTTCTCCTCAGAAGGGACTCAGAAGAGAAGCCGATGAGGATGGGCGTGCTTCACTCAGGAAGCTCCCATGGTCCTGGACCACCAGTCAACAAACAGGATCCAGACAGCTTCATGACTCGGGGTTAAGAGCCAGTTGGTGTCTGGACACAGTTTCCTGAACACTTCAGCCTCTACTGAGAAGAGCAAAGCAACACCAACAGACACACAGCAGAAACCACAGCTTCAGTGAGTGTCTCAGCAAGCGTGAGTGAGCAGACAGGACACACAGGGAAACCTGCCAGCCTAAGGGTCCTTCATGTGGCCCAGCTGCAATGCCTGCTCTGACAAATGACAGTTGCTTCCCTGACAGGATACCCTGAAGGAGACCACTCAGGCAGATGAGGCTCCTGGAAGCTAACCTCTCAGATCTGTGGTTTTACAGCTTAGATAGCTGGTCACTAGCTGCCACTGGCAGAGTCCCATGGATCTCCCATACAGACCAGGGTCACTCCAGGGGTGAGGAGACTCGTCTCCTGTCCCGGGAGAGGGGTGCCTCATGTTCAAGGGTCAATAAAGCAAGGTGGTTTCTACAGAGGTCTCAATGGACAAATCCCTCTTGTTTTCATGGATGGCTGTGCTGATGGTGTTTTGTGTTATGGTGTGTGTGTGTGTGTGTGTGTGTGTGTTTTCTGCTAATGAACCTGATAGAAGAGGAGGGCCATGGGCCTGTGGTGTCAGCCTGCCCCTGCAGAGGGTGGGTAAGGAGCAGATAATCCCAAGGACCTTCTGCAAACAGAAGGATATTCCAGAGGATAGTAGGAATTCTGAGGCAGGTGATGATGGGGATAGCCAAGGGACTCCAAGAAGAACAGGAATGGTACAGGGACCAAGGCCTCCCTCTCTTCCCTCTGGCCCAGGTAGAGTCCTTAGAGAGACAGTTCCAGGGGATGTGTTGGGGGACAGGAGATGTTGGGAGCCTGGAATGGCCAGAGGAAAAAGGGATGTACTGTGTGGGGAATGGGGGAGCATCTGGCTGGGGTTCTAGATCCCACAGAGCAGCCGTGGAGAGGAGGCCACAGCCCAGGCATAGGTGGAAATAGAAAAGAAGCAGCTTGCCTCCTACAGTTCCCTCCACCCTAGAGAGAGCCAGGAACAAGCTAGAAGTGCAGCCAGGGATCCTACAACCCAAATGCCAGAGGCTATAACCACCAGCCCCCCTTGCTAGGAGAACTTTCTCTACAGGGCCATGCTCTAGTCAACAGTGGCCACAGGCCACAGACCAGGATTATCTTGTGACTCTAAGGTCACAGGCTAGCTCTTAGGCTGGCAAATTGCAGTACACATTAGAAAGTTCCTTGATATCCTAGGTACTGTATGTAGCCTTGTCAGACAATCAGCATGTGACCAGAGCTGCCCTGAGATGGCTATTCCCAACTTCCCCTACAGAAGCATCTGCCCTCTGCAGCCCTTGAGAGCCAGAGCCCTCAGCCCTGGCAATAAACCAGATGTGAGCAAAACCAGACACTTCTGGCTTTCCTCCCTAGCCACAGCAGGCCTGAGTTGGGAAGCTAAAGTATCATAACATTACAAGGCCCAGGGACAAGAACAGCGATCTTAAAGACCACGTCTTCCCGCAACCCATCTCTTTCTATACACTGAGAAGGTATCAGATAGGGCAGTAACTACAGCCACGCCTTTCCTTATGAAGCAAAACAAGTATGGGAGGTGGGGTGGCAGGATCGGGGAGTGGAGGACAAAGGAAAAGGCAGACACGGTGAGTAAGCATGAGAAGGCAGTAGCCACAGGGCCAGCACTTGCTGCTCTGGGGCCAAAGGTCCAAGAGTCAGAAGGCAGGGCAGGTGTCAGGGCCAGAGGCAGAAGCACATTGCAAGAATAAACCCTGTGGGCTAGGCACTTTCTGGAAAGAGAGCCCATCCCTGCATTCCAGCACTCACAAGGTAGAGCCAGCAGCTCTTTCAGAGAGCCCAGGCCTGTCCAGGGACTGACCCAGAATAGGGGAGGGGGAGCTGGCAGGGAGAAACCTGAGGCTACTTTACATGGCTACTTTACTTGGCACAGGCCAGCCAAGCGGACAAGGGAGTCCCGAAGCCCACCGAAGGAGCCTAAGAACATCTCCAGGGTCTTGCTGAGGATATGCTGGGTCCCCACATTTAAAACTCTTTCTCTGGCAAATAACACAGGCAATGTCACCTGTCACCTCTGGATTAGGCTCTTTGCAACCAGAGTCCCTGTACTAGGGGGAGGGGAGTGCTAAATTTAACTGAGAGGCTTGGAAAATATTTCCTCTCTTTGAAGATGAAGGAGACCCAGATGAAAAATCGAGGTGGCTAGGAGCCTTTTGGACCTTGACATGAAACAGGAAGTCCTAGTGTCCAGTGGGATCATATGGACCATCCCCTCCACAGCAGAAACTGCCCCGGAAATGAGGGATGAGGCGTCAGCCCAGGTCACGGGTGCCACTGTCTTCAACCCCATTTCCAATATCTGCGGGGCCTCTAAGAAGACATATAGGTATCATGGGGAACCCAGCTGCTCAGAGAAGAGCCAGCAGAAGCCGGTTGCTATCCCTAGTCTGCTGGACCATCCATGGAATGGAGTGGGGAGTCTGGGGACAGCAGACACAGTGTGGGGACACAGGAGGTCCTGAGCCTGAGATGATTTATTCTATGCAATGTCTCACAAGGACACACTCATGACACTTGTCTCAGCAAAGGCTGCAGCACACCTCATGGAGAGTGCGACCGTACTCACACTGCCTCCGCCCGGGACGTGTTTGATATTGTCCTTCGAGCCACACTTGGACTGGACGTTGCTAAGATCCAGCTTCTTATTAATTATCTGCACCTTTGATAGCCAAAAAAAAGAATAAGAGATGACCACACCCGGAGCACCTCCCCCTGACCTGTGAGCTGCTGGGGAGAGCCAGGTCTGAGCCCTTCCTCGGGGACTCAGGGACTTGGAAGCTGCCTGGGACGGAAATCACAAAAGGGACCTAGAAGAGAACATGGCTGGGAACTGGCTAACAGCTGGGAGGCCACCAGGTGGAGTGACAACTGTAAACAGGGAGTCCCCTGTGTCAAGTGATCAGAAGAAAAAAACAACAAAAATCCAAACAGACACACCAGTGCAAGGCACCTTAACACAAAGAATTTCTACGGGGCTGCAGAGTTGGAAGTTAAAGCTTCCAAGACAAATTATCTCGAGCTGAGTTGAGAGGTGAGATGGTTCAGTGAAGGTAAAGACACTTGCCACAAGACCCCCACACCCTGTCTTCTGACTTCTGTGTGCGATGGCACGCACATACAGTACATAGTTACCTTAAACGATCTTGGGCTAATTTTAGCTTTTTTTTTTTTTTTATGATGTTTTGAGATAGGGTCTCTCTATGTAGCCCTGGCAGTGATAAAAGTCAGTAGTAGACCAGACTAGATTTGAATTTACAGAAATCCACCTGCCTCCACCTTTAGGGCAATGGAATCAATATTTATTTTTATTTATTTATTTATTTATTCATTCATTCATTCATTTACTCACTCACTCACTCACTCACTCACTCATTCATTCATTTAGACAAAAGGTTTCTCTGCATGTCCTGGAAACCCCCTTTGTAGACCAGGCTGACCTCTTGCCTCTGACTCCCTCATGCTGGCATTAAAGGTGTGTGCCATGACTGCCCAGTTGAGTTTTAAAAAATCTTTAAAAATCCGGGCAGTGTTGTCTCACACCTTTAATCCCAGTACTTGGGAGGAAGAGGCAGGCAGATCTCTGCACTTAAGGCCAGCCTGGTCTATAGAGCAAAAAAAGAGATAAACAGAGAAACCTGGACAAAGTCAGCTTGCTTCCTTGCTGGGGGTATGTAGCAGTGCTTGGCTGTCACCCACGAGCTGAGTTCCAGGCAGGGGCATGTGTTTCCTGGTTGAGGGCATGGGCTGGCACTAAAAAGTTTCCCTGTGAACCCCACTCAACTGTTGGTCTTGGATAGCCATTCAGTCTTTCTGTGCTTTAGTTTCTCCACCAGTGCTACTCTCATCAATTCCTTGGGATAGTGCCCCCTCTACTACGTGTGTGTTGTGTTTGTATGTGTGTGTGTGTGGTGTGTGTGTGTCTGTGTGTGTTTGGTCTTTCTTTCTTTCTTTTTTTTTTTTTTTTTTTTTTTTGATTTTCAAGACAGGGTTTCTCTGTGTAGCCCTGGCTGTCCTGGAATTTACTCTGTAGACCAGGCTAGCCTTGAACTCTCAAACTCAGAAATCCGCCTGCCTCTGCCTCCCAAGTGCTGGGATTAAAGGCATGCACCACCACCGCCTGGCTTGTTTGGTTTTCTTATTTTTTTTTTCTTTGAGACAGGGGTCTCATGTAGCTCAGGCTAGCCCATGCTATCCTCTAACCTGTTATGTAGCCAAGATAACATTGCATTCTTCAGCCTCCTGCCTTGGGCTGTCAGGGCTCAGATGACTGACAGTGCTACCACGGTTGGCTCATACCTTTCCCTAATAAACCCCTGAAGCAGATTCATCTGCTTAAAAAAGGGACAGGAAGCCAAGGGTCCATGCTTGCCATCCCTGCCTGTCTGAGGCAGGAGGATGTGCTCTTAGTTCAAGGTTCCTCTGAACTACATAGTGAGGTCCAGGCCAGCCTGAGCCACAGAGTGAGACCTGTATAAAAATAAAAATGAAAAAGAAAGCGAGAACGGAAGCAGCTTAGAACCAGAAAACAAGCTGGGTGCTGGTGGCATGCGCCTTTAACCCTAGCATTTAGGAGGCACGCATGAACTCTGCGAGTTTGGGGCCAGCCTGGTCTACAGGGCTAGTTCCAGAGCAGCTAGGGTTTCACAAAGAAACCATGTCTTGAAAAACAAAAATAATAATGATAGTAATAATAATAACAAAAACAGTAATAACAAAACCGATAATGACAATAATAAACTAAGCAAGAGGATGATGTCATAATAAAGGGAAGTCACTGAGATATGCATACAGCTCTATTATATCCAGCTCTGAGCTTCCTGGAAGCCAATGGGAAAAGGGAAACGTGATTGACTACATAACTCAGGAATTGACAAAGAAAACCTAATGGTTTTTGGAGGAAGATGACTGTTTGCTAGACACAAATTAATCAGAGGACATTAACCAAACACACGTGGTCTGTAACATACATAGAGACCCCACCCTGTGTGTGTGTGTGTGTGTGTGTGTGTGTGTGAGTGTGTGTGTGTGTTTCTTATTCTAACCCCACAGGAACGGAAACAAGCTTTTGTGGGGTTTGGCACTAGATAGGTATTTACAAAGCATTGAGTTACTGCTAGTGGTCATGTTAAGCCAAAGCTCTTACTAACACTCAAGCTCAGAGGGGAGAACAGGGTGGTGGTAGGCATTGTGAAATTGGAGCCCTGAAATGCCAGTTCTCAGCAACAGCAGCGTGGACCGTGGCACTGGGCTTCGGCTCTGACCAGACACTGGAAATACCCTGGAGGGAAAGGAGGCCATTTTCATCTGAGGGCCTTCCATTCAGGAGGGAAGTGTTTGTGGGCAGGGAGTGGTCCTGAGAAGCTGGCTGGACCCACATTAGTTTACACTTCCCAGAGATCCCAAAGTCATGTCAAACCTTAGGTGGACTTTGTTCTGTCTCTGCTTGGGTTCAGAACTCTCAGAGGACCCTTTCATGGCCCCAAGCCTCTAGTCCAAGGAGTTCCCAGGCTGTTGGTACTAGCTGGGCTGGGTTGGGCTGGGCCTCACTTGGACGGTGGGCCAGGACATCACCCCATGTGGAAAATGAAACTGGTGTGGCCAACTGAGGCCCCCAGAAAGCCTTTCTTTAGAGTCCAAGTGTTTCACTTGGAGATGGATGCAGAAAGCTTGTCTGTATCCAATCTAGCCAACCCTCAAAAGACAAGGTACCAGAGATCAGGCACCATGATGGGTGATGGCGTCAACAGACGTAGTGGCTGGGGACGGAGCTCAGTAGAGGATTTCCCCAGAATGCATAAGGCACTGGGTTAAAGAGACCACACTGTACAAAATTGTATGTGGTGCTGCAAACACTTGGAGGCAGGAATATCAGAAGTTCAAGGCCATTGTCAACCACCTGAGGTTGAGGTCAGCTTGGAATAAATGAGCCCCTGTCTTTCTTTCTTTTTTTCTTCTTTTTTTTTTTAATGGTCTTAAGATATTTATTGTCATGGTGGAAAATGGATGAAGCTATACCCCGGTATTCTTAGGGTGGGCCTGAGGTTAAATCCCGTCTCTTTTTTTAAAAAGGCTTTTTTTTCCTGTGTCAGTGAATATGTTGCATTTAAGATACTTGCAACTCCCACCTCTACACACACATACACACACACACACACACACACACACGCACGCAAATGTTAACATATTTCAAAAACTCTTTCATATCTCTCTATAATCAGTGGTGAAGCAGAAGAATAGGCAGACAGAAACAAAAAGAAATGAGCAGAGATGAGAGATAGAAAAAGACCACCAGTTAGGGAAAAAGACTAGTCAGAAAATCGCAATACACTTGCAGAGAAGGAATCAACAACTGTGGGTGGGCCAAGAATGCAGGCCACTGTCTACAGCGCTCCATCGCCATCTTGTGGTCACCTGTGATACTACAACCCCTGTGCTCCCAGTGTCTACAAGCTTTGACTTGGGAGACTCGCAGGTTACATCCCGCGTGGACCTGGAAATTGTCAGGGGGACAGTAACCAAAAACTGGTTAGGAAAGAAGTGAAATTTCTTTCTGTTTTATTTTTATTCTTTTGTGAGACAGGGTCTCACTACAAAGCCCTGGTTGTCCTAGAATTCACTCTGTTCAGGCTGGCCTTGAACTCAGAGAGATCTGCCTATCTCTGCCTCCCAAGTGCTGGCATTAAAGGTGTGCACCAGGGGCTGATGAGATAGCTCAGCAGTTAAGAGCACTGACTGCTCTTCGTGGAGGTCATGAGTTCAAATCCCAGCAACCACATGGTGACTCACAACCATCTGTAATGGGATCTGATGCCCTCATAATTATGGGATGTCTGAAGACAGCTACAGTGTACTTACATATAATAAACAAACAAACCTTTAAAAAAATAAATAAAGATGTGCACCACCTTGAATTCCCAATTCTCCTATCTTTACCTCCTGAGTTCTGGGATTACCGGTAGGAGCTGCCGTTATTACTATCTCTTATCTTAAGTACCCCAGGCTACAGCTTTGGTGATAGTGTCAGGATGGGACTTGGGGCCCCCGAGCCACACCCCTGGCTTGTGTTTTCATCTCTTACTTTACTATTGTCTCCTGTCATTTAATGCTTTATTTCAGTTACAGGTGAATTTCTTTTTTTTTTTTAACTATTTATTTATTTATTTATTATATGTAAGTACACTGTAGCTGTCTTCAGACACCCCACAAGAGGGCATCAGATATCATTGCAGATGGTTGTGAGCCACCATGTGGTTGCTGGGATTTGAACTCAGGACCTCTGGAAGAGCAGTCAGTGCTCTTAACCACTGAGCCATCTCACCAGCCCTACAGGTGAATTTCTATCATTTTAAATTTTTTTTTTTTTTGAGGGCGGCCCAGGCTGGTCTTGAACTTACTGTGTTGGTGAGGCTGGTCTTGAACTAACAATTTTGCCTTCACCTCCCTACATGCTACAGTCATAGATGAGTACTATGCCTGGTTTCTTCCATTCCAAGAAAACACTTCTCACTTCATGAGAAACTCTGGGACAGAATGATCTAAGGTGGGCTCCTCAGGCCTCTAGTCTCTAGAACAGAGGTTCTCATCCTGTGGGTTGAAACCCTTTTCGGGGGAGGGGTCAAACAACCTTTTCCCAGGGGTCATCTAAGATCTTAGGAACAG